TCCCACGCCAAATTATACCATTTAGACAAGAAAAGTATCCACGGCTTTGTTGCTGACACCAGCACAAGGAAGAGTAAGAAGGGGAGATGGAAGGGAGAAGCTGGATGGAGAGCAAGCGGGTCCAGGCTGGTAAGGCTGGTTTAGGGAACGTGGCTGGGAAATGGAGCCAAGATTCCCTTAAATAAAATTGAAACATGCAATTTTTATGTCGTGGTCTATTTTTATTATTCATCATCCTAAAAGTATGAAATTCCAATTATTTTCTTTTTTTAGGCAGGGTCTCACTACATAGCCCAGGTTCCCTCAAAACTCACAAAACCCATTCAGCCTCCTGAGTGCTAGGGCTGCAGGTGTATACCACCATGCCCATTTCAATTCCATTCCATCTCTTTTTTAAAAATATTTTATTTATTATTTTTATTTTATATGCATGAGTGTATTGCCTGCATGTATGTGAGTGCACCCGTGTCGTGCAATGCTGCGGAGGTCAGAGGAGGGCTTCGGATTCCCTGAGAACTGGAGTTAAAGACGGTTCGTAGCCGCCGTGTGGGTGCTGGGGATCGAACCTGGGTCCTCGGCAAGATCAGTGTTCTTAACCACTGAGCCATCTCTCCAGCCCCTTCAATTCCATTTTTACAATCTAGTTTTATGGCACTTCTGACTGTTTGGTGGGTTTATGTCTCAGCATGCTTACATTTTTAAAGGTTCTTGGATTAATGATGATAATGAGGGTGGGCAAAAAGAAATCAGCTTTTCTAGCAGACAAAAATCCTCTGACACACTTACAGAGAGGAAGTCATGAACTATTGGTTTTATCTATAACTCATAATCTGCTACCTTGTCAGGACAGGTGACACCTGGAGCTCAAGGCACAGGTAAAAGCACGATTTTAAAAGCAGGTGTTTTAGGGGCTGGGGAGATGGTTCAGTTGGTAAAATATTTGCCATGCCAGCATGGAACCTGAGTTCTGATCCCTAGTAAAAGTTGGGTATGGTGGCAGGGTCTATAACCCCAGTTCTAAGGGGACAGAGATAGGCAGATCCCTGGAACTCAGTGACCAGACAGTCTAGGCAAATTGGTAAGCTCCAGGTTCAGGGAGCGACCCTGTCTCAAAAGATAAGGTAGAGCCACACTTGGTGGCACATGCCTTTAATTCTGGCACTTGGGAGGCTGAGTCAGGTGGATCTCTGTGAGATCCAGGACAGACTGGTCTGTTTGCATAATGAGTTCCAGGCCAGGTGGGGCTAAGGGAGATCCTCTCAAACAAAACAAAACAAAACATAACAAAACAAAACTCCCAAATCAACCAAACAAAAAACCAAACCAAAACAAAAGATAAGGTGTATTCCGGTATAGTGCTGCATGCTTTTAATCCCAGCACTCAGGAGGCAGAAGCAGGCAGATCTCTATGAGTTCAAGCCAGGTCTACAGAGCAAGTTCCAGGCCATCCATGGCTATACAGTGAAGCTGTCTCAAAAAAAGAACTTGCAATGGTGAACTTCTAGCTGAAGCTGGTCCATACTGGTCTTTCAGGCTTGCCTGGAAGGAAGGAAGGAAGGAAGGAAGGAAGGAAGGAAGGAAGAAAAGAAAGAGGTGGAGAGAGATCAAGGAAGATGTGACAATGCCTCCCAGGCTCTGCATGCACAGGTACACATACCCATGCACACGCAACACACATACACACACACACACACACACACACACCCGCCCCACTGGAGAAAAGCAGGTGTTTTTAGTTATGTGCCTACTGTCATTTATCTGTAATTGAATTTGCTTTGTTACTGAGACTAGACGGGGACAGTCTTCAGTTAAATGAAAACAGGGTGACCCACTTCCAGTTAAATCAAGCCTGATCCCAGGTGGGATCCCAGGTGGAGCCACTCTGTAAATTAGAAGCCTGGATGCTTTCTTTCCTGAACGTGCATGTGTGTTTGGGGTTGGGGGTCCACCAGTAAAGAGCCTCTTCTATAATTTCAGTCCCCAGATAAAGGTATGCCCAAGCTCCCCAAAGCTCTGCTTCAATTTCCAAGGCTGGATGTGTGGCCACTTTCCTGGACTGTGGGCTTTTGCATATGCAAGCTGATTCCCAAGCCGAACTCCTCTTATTATGTCCTCTCTCCTTACCTTCTTTATTCAGTCTAGCTTGGTGGGTTTTTGCCATTGCCTTCTCTGTGGAAACCCTCACTCTCTGAAGCTTTGCTCTGGCTTTTCAAGGTTCCAAAAGGGCTGAATCGGTGTGATGGAGTGTTAAGTGGCCTAGCTAATTGATATTCACCTTATGATACCCTGGGACAATCAAGATGAGTGCAGTCTCTTCTCCCTACATCCATCACTGTTGCCAAAGCTGCCCCTGGCTTCCCCTGGGGACTACACAAAGAGGCTGAATATTCTGTGACCACAAAAACAATAGGGGCAGGCACATTGCTAAGGAGTGGGGGTCCGCTCTAGGGGCAGGGAGAGGCTAACAAAAAAGGGAAAAGAGAGATTTATTTCACCTCAGAATTCCAAAAAAGACACTTGTGTGACAGTAATCCTCCCTGCCTTTGTCTCTAGTGTATAAGAAACACATTATTTCTGCTATTGGTTAGAATGAGTGCTCCATTCAAGTAATAAATTTCAAGGAAAGTAATAAAAAGCACTTAACGGAAAGATGGAGGATGCTGAGACTGAAGGCAGAATTGGGTAGAGAAGTGTCTGGAAAGATTAGCATACAAAAAAGCAGCAAAACATGGCTCCTTCAAGAGCTGCTCTTTGAATACTTGGCTCCCCACACCCCCCACTTTTTGTTCCAATGTGAGGCTTCAAATTCTGGGCAGAAACCTGATCCACTGAATTCAGACAATCTGCACAATAGAAATATTCAAAAAACCCTAATAGCCACCCGATTGTAAACTGTACTCTGACACTGAAGCCTATGCATAGTAGAGCAGCAGGGAATTTTTAAAAAACCATTACAGATCTGCCCAAGTTATCACTTTGCCACCATGTAGAAGAAATTCACTCAAAATTTTTGAAGAAATAAACTACAATGGGGTTAGCACATGGCCTTGTGTTGGATTCCCAACACACACACACACACACACACACACACACACACACACACAAACTTATAAGTAATTTGCAATAATTTTTTTCAAAATTGAAAGTACTTCTTTTCTGTATGTCTTAATACACACAAATGTTTGGTATTCTTATCAGAGAAATAGTGAAAAAAAGCACAAGAGAATCTTAAAAATTAAGCTTTGGTAAATTAAAAAAAAATGGCTTCACCTCTAGGATTTCTTTATACTTAGAGCAGGCAGATAAAAGGGTGCTAAGTTTGGAAAAAGTAATGCGTTTTCATTTTTCATACAAAGAATGAGAATTTTTACTTTATTTCATTACCCACATTAAGTCCATAAATATTTTGTTATCTCTTATACTTAAAAACTTAAGCTATCTCAGGATTGTCATATTCATTGTGGTGGAAACCTGTACAGATTTTATTCTCTTTTTCAAAAATGTGTGGGTTAAATATGCTGCATTCATCTATCTTTAAACAGCATAGACTGCCAGAGAATTTCTCGCATTCAATCTTGTAATCTTTGCAATGCAAATAGCTTGTGTGTTTCTAGGAGAAAATCAGGAAGAGCTCTTCAGAGCCCTTGGAAGGGCTGTTAACCCGTGGCTCTGGCACCAGAGCGGCTTTCTCATGCAACAGCACACATGAAACTCCTCATTGTGTGCCTGCCTGCTGGCCCAGGAGCGGCCTACATTATTTAACACTACAGTGGGTCAGAACAGTCCCATAAAGCAGCATCTGCCTAAATATAAAGGAAGTCCTCAGAAAATAAAATAAATAATAAACCCACACTAGGCAAAGCAGAATCAAATGTTATTTGAGAAATCAACTTAAGGATTTGAGCAAACAAATGGCTCTCCTTACATACTGTAGATTTTTAAAACCTCTAACAATTTGTTCATGAGGACTAAAATAGAAGTTGAAGAAATGAACTAATAAATTAGAAAATGCTGGATTCTGAGTCTATATCTTGAAAGCTGTTAACACTTAACCCATCTTTTCTTCAGAAACAGATATTTTACCTTTTGGCTTCAGAAATCATATATTAAACATTCAGTTTTCAGTTGGAGATAAATAGCCTTCCTGTGTTATTGCTGTATAGCCTAACGATAGGGTGGGGCATTTTCTTAGAAAAAACTCTTGACACAAAAATTACCCATGATTCAAGGAAGCAGACCTAAGGGCCAATGCATGGATTTCTCTCCTTCTGTGTAGTGTTACCATTGGGCTCCACCCAGATTTGACAGCACTTTCATGACAGGAAAAAAAAAATTGTCAGAAAGAAATATTTGCTGCGTATCTGTTTGCTGCTTCTCAATGGCATCTAGAATTCAGAGGGTTCAATCATGCATTATGAATGAATGGGTTTCCAATGGTAACTGAGAGCCAGGAAGCTCAACCTCAGGGTTTTCTAACAGAGGGCAGGGTGGGGGAAGGGAAGAATCGCACATTCTCCACTCTGGAGTACCCAGGAAGGAATCCTGAAAATTCAATACTTCATCCCAACAGAAAAATGCAGAGAAAGCAATTCTATTTTTTAAAAAGCCAAGACAACATTAAAATAAAGACCAGTAAGAATAAAAAAGCTAGTCAGTTCACAGTAGCTTTCTCTCCGCACTTGTTAATTTGATGCTTTTGTTTAGGCAGAGAGTGGGTCTGCCCCTATTTTATAATTAAAGAGCATGCAGCATCACCATGAAAGAGAAAGAGCTGTACAGAAGAAACCAGCTACCCACCTGGGGTAACGGGAAACAGAAGCAATTCGAATAGTTAGGACCTACCCATTTCTGCAGACAAACAGACTAGGCAACGAGGTAAAGAATTAGATCCCTCAAGTCTGTCGCTGCTGCTCCGCGACCATCCAAAAGAACAATGCACATTTCTGCTACCATCTCGAGTTTGGAAGCACCATGCAAAGAGACTAGTTAAAATTCCCTACCATGCAGTGCAGCCATCATCAGAAGCCCAGCATATCTTCTGTTTTAAGTAGTGATGTGCCAGCTCATGAATAGAACAGAGGAAGAGAAAAATGGAAGAGATGAGAGAAGGCTCAGGAAAGTCGGCAGGAATGTTTCTGGGTCATTAACAAGTGGGAGACCCCCTTCCGTACTCAGACCAATCAATCTTAATCTTACAGGACATCTTTTTCTCAGCGTCTGTAGAAAAGACTGCAGCAAGCCAGACTGCAGCAAGGGATTGTGGGATAGGGATGCAGCAGGGAGCTGCAATGAGATTCGCGGGTGGTTGGCTTTCCCCTCTGAGTCAGCAGTCAGCTGCTCGCATGCTCTCATGCTCTCGTGCAGGACTGCTAGGCTCCATCCCCAACCAGAACTGCAGGATTAACCCCTGGAGATGTGAGAAGGTCCTGTGCGTCACAGACAGGACTGGTACCCACCCACCCAGTTAGGAATCAGAAAGAAGCTGTGCGCATAAACCAAAGGGGGTGCAGGAAGAATAGCTTCGAAAAAGATGAGAAGTTCGTATTTTGAGGAGTGTTTCCGGTGGGTGTGACATCACACACTTCCATCAGTTAATAAAAGTATAATCTATTTCTTTGGCTGTTTTAGGTAGCTTGAAACAATGCAATTTAAAAAAATACGAAACCAGTCCAGTTCCACAGTCCCCACTACCTACCCCACTTTAGGTAGCTCCCCAGGAAAGGGTCTGTGAAGAAAAGCTCTGCCAACTCAAAAAAGAGAAAGGACATTTCTCTGTTTTTTATGGTTCTAATCATTCAGAGAGGAAAAATAGTAGGTGATACATTTTCTGATTCAGGGGAAACTAGACCCTTTTCTTTTTCTGATGAAGTTTTCAGTTAAAGATTGAAAATTTTGACTAACTGCATATGAACATGGTTTGATTTCCTACCAAGTCTTTAAACATACTTTAATAACATATAAAGATCAACAAGTAGCTATTTAAAAGTGCTTAGGTCCTCATATTACAAACAATAGAATAAAAACCTTACATGTCAGATTGGAATTTACCGTCATTCTCTTTTCTACAGCAATGGAGGCAAGCAATATTATCACATATTATTAGTTAAAAGGGATCACTAGTTTGTAAAAATATTTTTACTGATTTGAGAATTTCATACCATTTATTTTTATCATATTCAGATCCCCTCCACCCTCTCCATCTCCACCTTACTACCCCCAATTCATGTCCTCCATTATTGCCTTTTTTAAAAAATATAAAGGCCTATAGAGTCTAAATTGTGTATCCCAAGAGCTCTTGTGTGTGTGGGGGGTGTCTATCCCTTGGAGTCTGGCCAGCCTACCAGGTGTCATACCAGTAAAGAAACTGACTGTCTCTCCCTGCAGCTATCAATTGCTAATAGACCCTTTCTAGGGCTAGGGCTTCTGGCCCACCTCCTCCATCCATGACTGGTTTGGATTTGCACAGGTCTTATGCATGCTGTCAGAAGTGCTGTGGGTTCATATGTGCAACTCCCCTGTGGTCTCCAATCAACATAATTTCCTTGTATTCATCTATCACGTATGGCTCTCAGAATCTTCCTACCCCCTCTTCTGCAATGATCCCTGAGCCTTGGGAGGAGACGATATATACAGGTGTTCCATCAGGGGATGGAGAGTTGGCTCAGCCATTAAGAGCACATAAGGGGTTTGATTTCCAACTGTCTCTAACTCCAGTTCTAGAGCATCTGATACCCTCTTCTAGCCTCCCTGGACATTGCATGCATGTGGTACACTTATATACATGCAGGCAAAAACCACTCATATGCATAAAAAAACCCCAATAATTTTAATTGAAATAAAATTGCATATTTGATGGCATTCCATTCTTTCCATATAGTCAAGCATTGCACTGAGCCCTTAAAAGGGACCTTGACTCCAGAGAGCAATGAAGATTACCTTGGGTGATAGTGAGACAGAGATTGGAGATTTCAATAACACCTGCAGGCCCTAGAACTGTGCTGACATGTCACTTTAGGCACACTATTCTAGGAGGTACACAGCTCTCAGAAATCCAGATTAACATCATAGAATTTTCTAGAGGCTTTTTAAAAAAAATATAACTTCATTTAAATACAGTCCACATACTACACAACTTCCCCATTTAAAGTGTACTTTAGTCAGGGATGGTGGCTCATGCCTGCAATCCCAGCACGCAGAGGGCTGAGGTAGGAGAACTGCCGTGAGTTCAGGGCCAGCCTTGGTCTACATAGTGAGTTCCAGGCTGGCTTAGGATAGAGAAGGAAACCTTATCTCAAAAAAACCAAATACTATTATTATTACTAAAAAAAGTGCCTTTAGTGTAGTCATAATTGTGGGCAACTATCACCATGGACAACTTTGAACATTTTCAGTACCTCAAAAAAACCCAAACCCTATATTATTTAGCTGTCATCCTCCATCTTCCCATCCCCTATAAACAATTGCAAATCTACTTTCTGTCTATATAGATTTCTACTTGTAAGAGACCTTCCCAATAGAAATAGATTTCTCTGTTCTAGACTGTCGCATGCATAAAATCATATAAAATGTGTTATGTGTCTGGGCCTTTTCCATCTAACACGTTTTCCAGGCCCATCTATCTGCCAGCTTATCAGTATTTCATTCCCTACAATATCCCATTATGTGGATGTAGAATACTTTAACTATCCATTCTTCCCAGTTGATGGGCACCAGGGTTGTTTCTATCTTTTGGCTGTTATGATGCTGCTATAAGTATTTGAGTCCAGGGTTTTCTGGACATATGCTTAGTTTCAGAAGTTTACAGTGCAATTAGGACCAACTCCTGAAACCACAGGCAGGCTATCTCCATCAAACTTTGTGGTGTCCTCTTCCTGGGACTGGCCATCACAAAGTTTTCTGACTTAGCATGGAGGGAATCCTGTCCTCTCTTTCATCTGCTACTCAATCCATCCCAAAGTCAGTCATTGAATGTTGACTCTCCCCAACACATCCTGTCTCCTGACTTCTCTACTTCTTTTCCTCCATTCAACCCAATACTTGAGTGTACGACTGGATTGGGTCTTTGTTCCCAGATGTGGGAAAATTGGAAGGAGATGTCCTTGGTGTGGTTGCTGGGCTTAGAGTTAAAGAAGGTGCACTATTCAATCACTCATTTTAGTGAACACTTACTGAAAATTAAGCGTGTTCTAGGCACTGGGTAGGCATTGAGGATACAGAGACGAGTTTAACAGAGTCTGAGACCTTAGGAAGGTTCATAATCCAGTGCAAGAGGATTGATTAGTAAACAGGCAGCTGTACTGTGGAACAGTAAGTGCTTGACAGCAAGAGGAAGTGGATGCTCTAGGCAATGCAAGAGGAATGTACAGGGCAAGTGAGGCACAGAGGCCTGCGTAAGCAAAGGTTGGGAGGCCAGCCAGCTCACAGGAATTAAGAACAGCAGGTAACTGCGGCTGGAGCCTGGAGTGACAGTGGGGAAAATGGGGGTTGTTACTCTCTGGATATAATGTGTTCTCCCAAATGCTCATGGGTTAAAGTCTGGATTCCCATAGTCCTACTGTTTAGAGGTGGGGCTTTGGGGAAGTAACTCAACTGTGAGTGTTCTGACTTCACCAATGGATGACCCCAGTGATGGGTTCATAATTTGATGACATTATTGGGAGGTGGATATTATTGGGAAGAAGTAGATCACTCACTCACTAGTAGTATGCCCTGAAAAGGTATACCTTGTCCCTAGTTCCAGACCCCCACATCCTCACTGCCCCAAAGTAAGCAGTTCTGCCCCACTACACCCTTTCCCCGATGCTCTCTCTCACCACAGTTCCAAAACAGTAGGGTAAAGCAACCACGAATTGAAACTTCTAAAACAAATCTTCCCTCCTTCAAATGGTTTCTCTCAGGTATTTGTCATAGTGGTGACAAGCTGACTAACCCAAGGCTCCTATTTCATTTCCAATCTTTTTCTTGGTTTGGAACACTCCTATAGAAATACCACTACACAGGATAGTTGGGTTCTGAATATCCTTGTCACTATGGCTTCACCTGGATAAAATGGGTTTTGAGGGCTCAGTTGGAACCTAACAAATGTAAGGCTGTCATAGGAAAATGTAGTATCATTTTTAGGGTATGTCTGGAAGCTATTTGGAAGCTGGAGCCTGGGTTGCCAGGGAATGTGTGAGCAAGCCACAGCATCTTCCTTTTGGCATTGCCAGGCAACAGATGCAGGGTGGTAGTAGCTATTGGTAGCTGCTTCTCTCCTGTGGCCAGATGTGGGGACTTACAGCAGAGAAGAGGGGCTGGGGATGCAGGTAGTGATAAAGAACCAAACTCCTATGGACTGCCAAGATACACATCTATGAAGGTGTGGTGCATCAGGCTGTCATATTGAAGGTGGAGTGGGTGCACTACTGATATGTAGCGCTAGGGACAGGCATGCCAAATATCCTCCAACGTGTGGGAGAGTCCCACACAAGTACATTTGTGACCTCCAGGTTGTCAACAGTACCTCCGTTGGGAAAGAATCATTCCTAGCCTCATATTGCACTTTGTTCTGGCATGGATACTCATCCTCACCTGCCTCCCTGCTCACTTTCTTCAGGGCTCAGCAAAGTCACCACTCACATTAAGAATTCTCTGGCTTCTCCTCCTCTAGCTACCAGACCCTGTTACCCTCAGGCTATGTGGGGAGCCACTCTGTGAAGTCTGTAACATTCTTGGCTAAAAGCTGTGGGAGGGTCTATCTTTTACATCTAACTCCTCAGCCCCCAGTGCAATGCTTGTCATACAATAGACGCCTGATGAACAGATGCAGAATGGCAAAATTTTCCTGAAAAGGAATGAGTGACAGAATATGACACAAACATTCGTCTCAGAACTGGAAAATGACTGGAACAGGAACCACTAGAAGAGGCAATTCTTCACAGTTTACAGGTGGTTTATCATTTAGAAAGTGCTTTCATCATAGATTTTTCTCCTTGACCCTCAAAGTAATGCCACCCCCTCCAGAGATAGAGTAGCCATTACTACTATTCTGATGAAAACTAAAGTTTAGAAAGGTTAAGTACCCAGCCAGGGGAGCAGTAGTTGTTACATAGTAGAGGTGAACTGTGCCAAGATGCCCCTGCAGGATAAGCAAGCACAGGGACAGTAATCAGTTCCAGAGTAGAACAAAGTCAGCTGATTGGAGAGGTGATGTGTTTCAGTGACACAGAGATATAACCAGGAGCTTTGAAACTGCCTGGTGTAA